AGAACTTTTGTTACGGTATGAAAGTCTGAGGTGCTTCTTTTCTTTTTGCTGCTTAAAATGTGCACTGATAATTGCGTTGTTTACTTAATAAAATACCAAATGTATTTCATACGTGCATATTGTATTGCAGGAAGTGCAGCACTCTGAACCTGTGGCTGATGTGATCCCTGCAGCCTCTTCCCTGGGCTGGTGTCATGGACAGCCTCAGTGGACACCTCAGTGACAAGGTGTCTCCTCCTTCTTGACCTAACGTGATATTTCACCACCTTCTAGTTTTTCAAACTATTCATGGCAATAAGCTTGTACTGTTCATAAGTGACCAAGAAGCATAACTATGTCCCCAAAAATTGTTATTATCTTCCCTAATCTTACAGCAGAAGGTAGTGCTGGAAAAGCTATGAACAGTTTGCTGAGACCACCTTCTCTAATTAGACACAGGAAGAGTTAATAGAAGTGGAACTTTCCTCCTCACAACGACCTGAGGCTTGTCCTGGAGGCCAAGGTATCATAAACTGAGCAGTACAGGTCAGTAGATTTAAAATTTCTTTCTCAAAGCATGAATTTAAAAAACCCTGAACCTATTACAGAGTATGTAATACACACACCCAGATCTGGAGAGTTTCATACACATTTACTAAAATTTTGCCTTCCTACTGCTGGGGCTTTCAGTGTGGGTCAGTTTGCTTGTGGTCAGAATATAAAAAAGGTGAATTGTTTTAGTTGGGGGCCAGCTGGAAAAAAGGTGCACATCTGTGACCTGTTACCTACCTCAGTAAGTACCAAGGTACAGATTGTTCAGACCTTGTGTGAAGGAAGAAGGTAGATCTTCATCCTCCTCCAGAGCCTGATGAGCTTGGTTATGATAAAACAGACCCTAATTTTCTTCTTAAGTCTCCGTTGCTCTCTGCAGAGTCTTAACTTGAGGCTTTTGGCTGAGAATAGATGTGTTCCTAGATCTCTCTGATCCCTTAGACTCTTTGTGTGGCTGTGGCCTTGAGGCTGCAAATCATGAAAGTACCAAAGAATTGTGAACACCCAAACCCATGTCTTCTGCAGGGATGCTGAACTCCTGTTACCCTTTACCACTCGCTCATTGTTGCTCTGTGTTCCTTGAAACAGCTGCTGTGCAGATTAGGCCTTCTTGCTGAAGGCTTTGCTAAAAACCCTTGCTCTTTGGTTTACTCTTCAGAGACAAACTGGCTTGAGAATTTTCCTGAGTAGTAGGTTCTCATTTGCTTTGTTCCCAGTGTTTGCTTTCAGTATCACTGAAATAGCACACTCAGCTTAATTTAAAAAGCACAGCACACAGATGTATTTTGTTTTCTAATTACTGGCACTTTTCAATAATAGGGGGTAGTGAAAACCTGGTTCTCTTCAGAATTGAGTTGAAAGGCTGTTTAAAAAAAATCTACAGGAGCAAACTGTGTAGAGAAGCTGCCTGCCCTTAGCAAGCAGAGTACGATGGAGTGCTTTGTTGGTGGGATGTGGTTCCTCTTGAAAATTTGTGTAGGGAACTGCTGTGTCAGAATAACCACATATTTTTTGTTTGTTTTTAGATCAGGGAATTATATAATGAAAACAACTGGATTTACCTCTTGAGACAATTACTTTTGCCAGAACAAGAACTTGAACAGCTCCTGAGTTCTCCAACATCACAAATGTTGAGTGTTCATATGAAGACAGATCTAAATTCCTTTGCTGCTTCTCTTCTTTGTTTCAAAGTCACAAACTAAACTGAGATGGTACCTCAGGACATGTTTAAAGTCTGTCTTTGCATGACTTTTTGACATCAGAGGTTCCATTCAGCCAACTGCCAGAATAAGTCACAGACGTTCCCAGCTGCCAAACAGCCCTTCAGCAAGAAAAAGGGACAGGGTGAAACCCTGCATCTTTCATTAGACAAAAAGTGCCCATTTCCAGAGCCTGACACAAATTTTGTAGCAACATAAATGAATTGCAGCTTAAAGGCCATGACATAATTGAGATAAAGATTGTGGCAGAGAAATGAGAATTAAGTGCTAAAAACTCTGGGAAGGATAGTAAATGCTGATGGGAGCAGAAGATTGACAAGATAATGTGAGGGGCAGTGAAAAAATGTGCTGAATACAGACAAAAGAGCAGTGCTAATGGCAGCATATGTAAACTGAACAAGAGCTTGCTCCTTGGCCTGTTGTCAATCTCTTGACTTGACCTTTGGAGCTCTCACACAACAGTGGAGAGAGCAGAAACAGGCTTGACATCTTCCACTGAGTTTGCCCAACAAGAAAAATCTGTGAGATGCTACTGTTTGCCAAGTTCAATCTGGAGAGCAAAGGGACTTAGCTGATTGTTCAGCTGCATCCTGGCTGGATCAGGAGAATGAGTGGGGAGAAGAAAACCCTGGGCAGGTTCCCTGAAGGTGTAACATTGCTGCCACCTACTCAGCACCTTTTTGTACCAGAAGGTTGAGTAACACGGTGAGATGGCCTTCCCAAGATAACAGATCAGTCTAGGAGCGAGTAAAACACATTTAATTATTTTCTTCCTTCTCTGATGATGAAATTTCCTGAAGCAAAGATCAAAAAGCCTTGGAACAAAGAGCCAACTTGCTTAAATTTCTATGTGAGGTGATAATAGTTAAAGAGAATATGTTGGATGCAAGCATAGTGTTTTGGATATCCGGCAGCTGCAGTACACAAGGAGCACAGGGGTCTTGGGTTTATTTTCATAGCATGGATCTCTGCTTTGTTCTTGGCAGTAACTGCTGAACTTCCCTCTGCCAGCTACAGCAATTGCCCAAGTACTGGAGTTTTTTAGAAATGCAGTATTTGATACAATTTTAGCTTCTTGTTTTACTTTAATCACTAAGTGAGCAAAGATCCAGCACCAAGTTAAATCCTAGTTTTCAGCATGGCTCAGTGTTCAGCTGTCAACATATGGGAACAGTTGTTGGCATCTTGTTGCCATGTCATGTCCTAAAACAATATGGTGTTTGTGGGAGACTGCAGAACATGAGCCCTGAAATGTAGTATTGCAAAAAACATCCTTACTTTCAAAATCCAAGGAAAAGCCTTTTTTTTGGAGGAACATCCAGCTGCAAAACATCAGTGGCTAAAGATGCTAACACTAATAGATTCTCTGTTTTGTGCTTGTCACTATAGTGTAGCTTTTCAGTCCATTACCTTCTGCCTTGACCTTATTGTGGCAAACTCCTTTTAGCCCACAGAAGCAGAGTGTTTAATAACTTCTCTCTCAGAAAGCAGCCAAACAAGAACAAATGCTGCAGAACGAGTCTCTTAAACCCTCCTTTCCCAAAACGTGCAGGTCTGAACCTGTGGAAAAGAGTGCCTTGTTATATAACCTCGCTGCAGTGGAGGCTGCAAACCTCGTAAAAACCAGACCAAAAGTGAAATCACCCACATTCCCTGCAGCTCAGGCTGGGGGAGATCATACCAGCACAGCCAGACTATAAAGCACTACAAGCCAGTCACTCAGAGAGGGTTCAAGCCAGCAGAGTGCTGAGGTAAGCAGCTCCTTTCATCACTGGAGTGGATACAGGCTCTCAGCACACCTCTCCCCATTATGCTTTTTAGACATTCCATGGATTGATGTTTCTCACTTCCAGCTCATGGACCTCAGTTCTATTAAAGTAGTTTTTATTTCCATGCAAATTGAGTGATGCTTATATTTCTTTAATTTTGAATTCCAAGGAATACGTGTTGGGTTTTTTCTTCCTGTTGAAACTGCAGATTTGCTTGAGCTTTGTTCTAGTCAAACACACAACTCCAGGTCTGAAGCTGAAGCTTAGATTGGATTATAATTGTGAAGATCGGGACCCCTGCTTGCGTCCTAGAGCTGTCTTGTGCAACAGTAACACAGTAAAGAAAAGGTATTTCATAATGCTGGGAATACAAGGGTGACTCCCATAAGTTTAGTCCTAACTGGAGTAGTGAACTCCAAGTGGGGCTTGGAAGCACTGGCTGTGCTGCCAGAAAGTGACTGATCAGCCCCGTTTTACAACATGCTGATTATTTCTCAGAGATTTAGCTAGTAACGAATTTATCAAATCCAGATGCCTTGGGCTGAAGACCCAGCTTTCTCCATATGAAAGCCCTGCAGTGGCCTTAATGCTAATCCTGTAGAAATCAAGGGAATTTGGGACACTTCACTAAATATGTTTTGCTGAAGGCTGTTGCTTCTGGCTTGTGCAGGCTGCCTGTGGCTTGAACCCTAATTAGCATGTTTGGGATTTCTTTTTAACTCCCTCTCACCCACACAGGCTGTTATGGGAAAAGGCTAAACTGACTGGAGGAGGCAAGGGGTCTTTTTTCCAAGGTGCAGGTTGATGTTGTCTTGCCATATGTCCTGCACATGGTGCTATGCATTATGGGCATAAGCCAAGAGAAGGCTAGAGACGGGCCCTACATTTACACCACTAGAAAATGTAAATCCACTCTGGGGAGTGGTGGGAAGGAGGAGAGGCCTTTCTTTAACAGAAAAGCCATTCAGCATAAGGCACATTGTAATTCTGCATCTAAAGGAGAAGCTAAACTAATCACTGAGCAGAACTAATCTCTCTTTCAAGTCAGCCATTTCATGGGGCTTGTGCTGCACTCAAAGCAAGGCAGGGGAGCGGAGGGGACGTGTCTGTTGGGCTGCAGACACAGCCCAAGTGCAGATCCCCATTCCATGGACACTCAAGGGATAGGAATCACCTCAGCCTTCACAGTCACTCCACTGGGTTACAGCAGGGGCACGTCCAAACTCGCTTTACTGTTCACCACGTGGCAGAGAAGTGAGAGTCAGTGTGAGCTGGAGTCTGCCACCCTTACCTGTCTGCTTGTGATCCCTGCCTCAGAGGAGCTTTGTCAGTGGAGCCCAGAGACCAGTGGGACTCACCTGCAGCCCAAGGAGACACCTGCTGGCCAGGAACAGCTGAGCATGCTTGGAAAACCAAAAGTGTTTGCACTGAAGTACAGATACACTGAGATACTGTACAGAGATACAGGTTGTTTAAAAAGTAAGTTTTTTAAAAAGCTTTATTCCAAACAGCTGATTATCCTCTCAAGGGTTTAAATTGATTATTCAATGCTGTCACAAGTTTTTAATGAGGAAATGCATGGGTCAGAGCCTACATGTGGGAAGGACCTGTTGTGAGCTGCTGAGAGGGTGTCCAGAGGGAGCCCCTCCACTGCAACAATGCACTGAGATAAATGTTCAAAAGGACCAGCTACAAACCAAGGATAAGGGCTTGCACGATATATTTGGCCAATTCTAAACAAACAAAATATTTCAGACCTTAGAGGATTTTTATGCTGGTTTTAAATTAATTTTTGTTTATTTCAGTGAATTTAAGTAGGGGTCTTGTGGAGACAGATAAAAAAGCATTCAGACACTCCATTTATAGCAATAGTTGAATTATGCTTGCAAAAATTAATTCTGCTTTAGCAGAGCATTATGTATTTTGTAACAATTATGTGTTTTATGGCAGCCTGCATTTACCCATTCAGTGTCTGATCAAGAAGGAATTCCAGAATTCCAAGAAGGAACTCTGCAGGTGGAGACCACACAAACTAAATATTAGCTCAGACCTTTTAGTAGATATATGTGCTATGTGGACTGAATACCCCAGAGAGTGCACAAGACCTCTCTTAGTGGTAAGGAAAGGAACCTTTCTCTGCACACAGGCATACCTCTCATGAAACTTATAATCATGATTCAGGCACTCTAAAATAGTTTCCTCAAAGCCCCATGCCACACAGAAGAGATCAAATATTTAATGAACTGAGAATGTTACATTTCTGTGTAAACAGCACAGCTTGTCTAGTTTTCATCATTTTCCTTAAATAAGGCCTTGATCATCTTAGCTGTGATACGCCCATCTGATTTACCAACAGTACCCCCTTCTCTGTGGCTCCCTCTTGGCATTTCTTCTGTTTCCTTACAAGTAAGCACAGCTTTTCCAACCACAAGCAGCTTTCTCTTCAGAGGTCCCAGTTTTGAGTATGCCTTAAGAAGAAAGAATATGGTTTCTTTGTAATTTCATAGAAAAGCAACAATTCTTAAAAAAACAAAAAAAACCCAAAAAAACAAACAAACAAAAAAACCCCCACTAAAACAACAAAACCAGAAACTTTTATTTTTAAAACAACTGTAGAGGTGCTGCTCTAGGGTTGTGTTTGATAATGTCAGTGATAATGAGCTTCTTTTGCAAGCCAACTCATTTTAGGAGGCTACAGCCCTGCTGCCCTCTTCTCTGTGTTTTCACCAGTATCATCTTCTGTATAAAGCAAATTCTAATCTCAAATTCAGTTCTGTGAGAAGAATTAAACCAATGCCACAGCTTGCTCCTTCCAAAAAGAGAGAGGTCCAAGCCCAGCCATGTGCTTCAGCCACATCTGCACTGGCTCTGGTCTTCTCCAAACCTCTGAGTCTACTCGGTTGACCAACCCAACAGAAACTAATTCAGGGGGAGAAAGAAGGAAAGCTTTTCTGCTGGGCTAGAGTCCATCACCTGCAGCAAAGACCAACGTGCACTGTTTCCTCAACCCTGCAGTTTGCACCCAGGAACACCTTCATCCTGGCTTTCTGTTGAAGGAATGTTGATCCTTTAATGCTGCTATGCAACACAGATTCTAAAGGACCTGTTGATTGCCATCCAAGCCTAGTAATCTCTCATTAGGTGACATTCAGAATTCTTTCTAGGGGAATTTCATCCTAGAAATTCACTCCATGGGATGATTCTTAGGACATCATTCACTGGGCAAAACACATGCCTCATGGTATCAGAGATGCCTGAAGGCATCCAAAACTTCCATGTGAGACTGGTCCTTAGGACCCAGAACGTGTGCTCTTTTGGCCCAGCATCTGAAGGGCATGGACCTAACTGTCCCAAATATCACCAGAAGACTACAGTCCATCTGAACTGCGCAGCAGGTAAAGGACATTGGATGCCATAACCACTGGAAATAGAAGGGTCCTGACAGTAGCTCATGCTCCACACTGAAAGTGTTAAAGTGTGTTTGTGTTCGTGGGAGACCTGATAACTCTGACTCATACCTGGAACTCTTCTTCTTCATACAACAAGCTGTCCAGGGCTGGAGTGAAGAATTTTTTCCTCAGTTTTTCATCACTGTCTGGAGGCTTCGTATAATCTGTTTTAGACCGAATCTTTGGAAAGGCACTTCTGAGGCTCTTTCCATCTGTCTTTGCTTTTTAAAGAGAAGAAAAAGGAAGTGTATGTAATAGTTAAGCCTTATGGAAGTCAGAATCAGTACTTGATATGAGCATTGCCCGCAATCTTTAATATGGCTTAGCCCCTGCAATGCAAAGAACAGCTTGGTAGCATTTTTAATTGGCAATTCAAGCCAAATGCTCATTTTCATTGGGGTTTTTTATGTGTTTTTTGTTCACAATTTCTGATCAAGACCCAGGGACTGAAATTGATTGGAAGTTAGAACTAATGGATCTGTAGGAGGGGGCAGGGAAAAAATGAGCTTTTGTCAGTTCAGCTTAAATCCTGTAGAGCCCTGAATAGTTAATAAGAAAGGCAGCAAAACCAAGTATAAATTTCTTCTATACCCATGTTTGTGTATCTATAGGTACATAACTACAAGTTCCTGAAACAGTCTACTTATAACTCCCCTAAAGAGATCACATCTGTAGTTAACTCATTCTCAAGATGATATAAAGGATTCTGGACATGGACTGCCAAGTTACAGGTTTGCCTGTGACTGTGACCCAGCTTCTTGGAACAAAGACTTATCCTACAGGTAACTATTGCAAAAGTCTAGCAAATGTGTTCAAAGTAAACATGTGTTTAATACAGAAGTCTTGTTCAACATGTTTGCGGGTGCCTGGTATTTCAAAAGGCCCACCTATGGCTGGGACTGATCAGAAATACAACAAACTTCTTCATGTATCCATAACTGTATGATTTCCATTTTTCTAACATATCTCTTTAATTTTAATTAAAGAGATATGTTAGAATCATCTTCTACTTTTTTCCATCCTCTTTCTTCTACTCACACAAAAATGTAAAATAAAATTTGTGATACTTAGGAATCCACAGAGACTGTCCTAAATAGATAAGCACAGGCTCACGCTCCTTGCTTAACAGTACATCCTTTCCCTGGCCACACCTACCAGAAGGGATGGAGATTCAGCCCAAAATTCAGTACTGCTTACCAAAATTTTCAGTTCAGGTTAAGCTCCATGTAGCTTCATCTCCTCTTGCTAGGGATTTAGTTATAATTGAACTCTGGTGTATTGGATGAATGACTGCAAAGTGCATGCACACTTAAAGTGAAAGCCTAAATGGAGTTTAAGAGTGTCCTCTCAGGGACAAGCTGTAATGAAGTTATGATATGGATCAGTAAAGAACTGATTAGGATATGATTCATATCTTCATAAAAGATGGCCAATCCTGTAAACTGTATTCCAGGGTAGCTCTGGATGAGTAATAATATTCCACAATCTAAAACAAATTTAAATTAAAAACTGTATTACAAATAGATTGTGATTTTGTCTCCTAATGCAAATTACAATCTATCATGGCTATGGTGGCTGCAATCAAGAGGGAAATAAGGTGTTCTCCATGTCAAACAGGTAGTTTGAATAAAAAGTTTCAGAAATAAAAAGTCTGTACATGTTCAGTAACTTAGTATTTCTTATAAGCTGCTGTCATTTGCATTACCTGCATATTTTCTGGTTCCCTTTTTCATTTCATCTTTAGGAAGTTCTTGCAAGCCAGCTCCCTTTGTATGAAACAAATGCCTATGGAGTAAAAAATATAAAGTGAAACCCATAATAGGGGTCTTAATTTTCTCTCTAATGTGTCCTGTGCAATGATTTGGGGTGAGGGGGAGGCAACCCTTTCTGAGAGCCACTGCTGCTTAACCACAGAGGCAGAATAGCGCAATGGTTCAAAAATGCAATGGAGGCAGCCAGGTAGCTTAGTGGCTAATAAGCTGCTCTTTTTTATTCTTAGTGCCTTAGTTCAACTATGTCCATGAGACTAAAAGAAAACAAATGTTATAGTCTCCAGTCAGTCCAAGATTCAGACCACAGCTGGCAGCTCTCACTTCAAAGAAATCCAAAGTTTGGAAAGGAGAGAAAAATGGTCACTTCTTAAGACTTGAACATTTTGTGCAATATGGCTAAAATCACTGAGCTGGGACTGGAAACTGAAGATGGATCTCTCACATTGTTGCATTGTGCTTTTGATACCATTAGTGTTGACATTTTGAAGCTAAATTAATCTTTCTCCAGGGAAAAAGTTGAATCATTTCAACACAAAAGAAGCTAATACTACAGACACCTCTGCAGACAGACATTTCCCAAGGTCTCTTCCTCTCTCAGTGTCAGGTCATTTGTTTCACTCAAGATTGCAAACCTCCTATATATTTGCAAATTAATCTTCACATCCTTAAACATTTTGCAAACAGTAAAGACAAAATCTATTATTCAGCACTTAGTCTGAAAAGCTGGGGCTGAGACCATTAATTTCAACACAAAGAAATTATTTCCAAGCCTAAGTGATATAAAGTGAGTAGTGTTAGATCTTAGTAGATTAATTAAGGACCCAGTTTCTTCCCTGAAATTCAGTACTTGAGGAATCACAATCTTATTGTCATCCTTCAGAGATACTGCTCCCATGTATACTCAGTCAAATCCTGTCTTTCCTCAACTAGGAAACTACCTCGGCTTTGATGTGGGAGAGCCCAAATAGCTCTAGAGGCAGACAGGAGCATTATTAAAAAAAAAAAAAAAAAAAAAAAAAAAAAAATCACTTTTGAGTCCATGAAAGCATTATTTTACCCTGATACTCTTAGATGCTGAAGTTTGATATCAATCAGTTTTGCCACCAAACTGGTATTTTCTTCTTCCAGGAGCTGGACAGAAGTTTTCAAATCCTTTTCTTCCTTTCGGTAGATCTTAACCTTTTGACAATTAAAAAAAGAATAAAAGAAAGTCTTAGAATTTTGTAAAGCTTTGATAGCAACAACCTTACCAGCACATACCTAGGAAAAATGCAGCTGTATCAGCAAGATTGCATATTTGGTGGGGAAACATAGTGACACATCTTCAGACAAAAGGAAGGACTCGCTAGTTCTTTCACACCTTTATTAGAACCCTGTTACTGTCACAGCACATGTGTGTCAATTACAGCCACACATTTGGGCTATGCAACCCTGACAGCAAAATCTTCTTGTACAGTCAAACACATCTGCTAGACAGGAGCTTTGGATTTTTCTTTTTTGCTTTCACATCAGAGCTTTGAGAGAGGAAAAGCTTCTTTGCAGAGGTAAAGTCAGGGAAAGCTTCTTTGCAGAGGTAAAGTCAGGGTCTTACTCAGCAAGTGTTGTTTTTCTAATTCCTTCCTATACCTGAAACCTTCTCACCCAAAATTAGTGAAGTTTTCAGTCCAAGTTACCACAATATTTCTTCCTTCAGAGGGTGGTGGTGGGGCTCTGGAACAGGCTCCCCTGGGTCACAGCCCCAAGGCTGACAGAGCTCAGGAAGCATTTGGCCCATGCTCTCAGTGGGGCTTTTCAGGAGCAGGAGTTGGACTCAATGATCCTTGTGGGCCCCTTCCAGCTCAGGATGTTCTATGGCTCTGTGACATTGGCTAAGCCCCAGGTAATATTTGCTTTCAGACTGGCAATTGCCCCTTATCACTGTGGAAATATACTGACCAAAGGATGCTGGTTATTCAGTTCCCACAATGCCTCCCACTTTTGCATAAGTACCAGCACGTGCTTACCCCCTTACTGGGGAGGGGAATATACTATGGGAAAGATCTTCCCAGAAAGCTTAGCCATATGCACGTGTTCAAGAGAAGTACCAAGCGATCTGAAAGCGTCCATTCTCATCAAAACCGAATTAACCCAGCTATAATCATCCAAATTTGCAGTTAAAACTAGTTCCAACTTCTCCCAAGGATTAAAAAGGTGAAAATGACTGGAAATTAACTAGTAACAGGATGTGGCTTGGCACAGTGAGGTGATGCAGCTTTGCACCATTTTGGTGCGACAGAGTAGCCATGGAAAAATGTGACTGAAGTCTCCAAATCTGTTTTAATTTTGGAGGTAACTAATCTAGAGCTATTTTGGTAAGTCATTTTTCAGTTCAGTGGCCAAACTTAAATAAAAAAAAAGAACTGAGACAAACTAAAATTTTTGGTTTATCACCCCCAAAGGAAATACTGAAACAGTCTGTCAGCTACATATAAACATCAGTCTGAGAGAAAATATTTCATCCATGTAAGAAAAGCAGAGAAAATGAATGGGTGAATTCAGAGGACCGGAGAAGTTAGTGATAATAGTTTTGTTTTCCCCCCAAAATTCAAAGCAGTAATTCATAACATAGGAAAGTAGCAACATAGGAAAGTAACTCATAACATAGGAAACTTCTGCTTGAGAGGAAAGAAATCCAAATCCCTCAGCTCTGAGGTGAAGGCCTGTCAGGACATAAGAGTACTCCAAAGTGCTCTCTTATTGGCACTGCTAATGTGTGTAAAACCTGTAAGTGTTCAGTGAGACAGGGAGAAGGGAAGAGAATTCATACTCATGCAGTGATGGGATGTGTAGATTTGAGCTCCTGTTTGTTTATACAGAATAAAACATTAATTCTTTCACATTTCTTTTCCTTACCCTCATTGCTTCAGAAGTTGTGGTTTGGACACCCTCCCTGGAAAGTTAAAGATGCATGCTCAGAGCTCATTAAGGGGAAGAAGGAAATCTGTGTCCCTGCATACTGGCAAGTACCTTAAATTAGTAACTAAAATGAAGAACCTCTGCCAGGTTTGTTGATGTGGCATGGAAAAGTAAGAAGTACATTTATTAACTTTCCAAAAAGTTTTGCTCAGTTCTCAACTGTGAGGCTGTAAAAGTGAGGAAAGGCATTTCACCCACCAATCTCATGCTTAGATTTGATTGAAACAAAGAACCTATATTGACTGGAATAAATAAATCAAACTTTCACTATGGAAAAAATTATTTTCCTAAATCTGGCACACAAAAATATTTTCTCATCAAGAAAATTACAGCTATCTAATATATAGCTCTAAATTGTCATTAAAGGTCGGTATAAAAACTATCAAGCAATTAATTACAACCATATATGATTTTGATTTTCCTTTCTTCACTGTAGAGTCCCCATGGTTTCTTTATGACCTTCCATTTCATGTCATCTCAAGACATTTCTCAGAACATATTTCCAACATCCATATCCATTTTCTTTCAATACAGCAGCGCTGGAACTTTAATGCAATTCAAACCTCCCCTCTTCAGCTACTTACCTGGTTGATCCTTTATAGCATCCCAGTCTCCACAGATAAAGATCCTTAATTGTATGGAACATTGTAGTCCTTCATGTAACAGCTTGGGCAGGAAAGGGGGTTCTCCATTTGTGAAAGCAGATGTTCACCTCTTACCTTTATTTACCACATTGCACTGCTTTCTGCTGAGGATTACAGATTAATTACTGAAAAACTGCTCTCCTTTGCCAACAGAAGTCTCCCAGGCCCATGACTGGAAACAGTTCTGACCATAGGCCACAGTATTTCAAACATGAACTGCCATGATAAACTGCAGGCAAGCGATCCTCTTACCTCTTCTTTTAGCCACTCGTTCTCTTCAATCTCTCTGCGGCAGTTCTTGTCTAAGTATCCCACAGCATTCTGAGAAAACACAATTTAAAATAATCTCATCGGAGAGCAACACTTTGACAGTCCTGCACACTATAAAGAAAAACTGTCTGCTCTTTAGCAGGAAATAATTAAGACACATCTACACAACAGACTGTAGCATCCTCTGAGGGATTACAAGGGGATTTACTTCACAAGGCCAGATGTTTGTCCACTATCATTCTGCCTAGAGCAGATTATATGTCAAGCAATTTGCCAATATTTTTTGATTTCCCATATTAAAATAGGACATTTCCCTTTTTGCCTAATAAACGCTTCTGTGTACCACTACTGCTCTAGTCTTACTGCTTTCAGAAAATCAAACCTTCAGCTGTTAAGAATCCCAAGTAAAATCCCAAATGAGGCAGTACTGCTCTACAACAAGTGACCTAAGCATGTAGAGGTCTGTGCTAATGACCCCAGGCTACAATTTAATTATTGATGTCAGTAAAATGGAAAGGAAGAAGTGAGGGGGAAGATGCCCCAATAGATCACCATAAACACAGTCCTCTGGATTATGTTCTCACATGACTGGAAATTCCAGCACTGAAGTCAGGGAATTTAAAAACCTAATGGGCCTAGTGGTTTGTACTGAAGTATACTTTGCATTTTGTGAAAGTAAGAAGTTGTCACTAGAACTATTTGTAAACCATGTTTTCAAATCAGAGCTGGCAGAGATAACCAAATCATAGTGAATCAATAAACCTATATTTTCCTGAGACTGCACTGTTGTGACATTTAAAAATGTTGTACTTTACAAGTACAGTGAAACCCTTTTTTTTCAAATTGATGTACATTTTAATGCAATCTTTTTGTATATTACTGCTTTTGGAAATCTGTGTAAATGTTAAAATCAAGGCCATGGCAAAAGCAACATGTTCTCAAACAAGCCTTGTCAGTTCATGGTGCCCCAGTTTCCCGTGCATTGTTTGTAAAATGCCCTCACATCTACCCATTGTTGTTCTGGTGGAAAGAAAAAAAAGGCACATGTATGTATAGCAGTAACCAAATCCATATGTACCAGGATTTGCAGGTTATTTTACTCTCAATTTATTAAAAAAGTTTGAAGTCTTAATATGAGTTAAAATAATTAATAATGCAGAGTACATGTATCCCAACTGTAACACAGTTAGCAGTTTTTTAAAAAAGCAAAAAGAATACCTTAAGAGCTTCTTCACTGAGTAATTTCATGTGCCTGTCAAACATTTTCTGATTTTCCTCTCTCACAACTTTCAAAGCTTCACTGTAATATTCTTCAAAACAAAAAACCAGAGAAATCAGAAATCATTATTTGCCATCAATTTTTCCTGATAACAGATAGATAACTGACATGTCATTACTAAACTGCAACTTATCAATGAGTGTCGCCTGCACAGATAGTCCACAGAGAAGGATTCAAATATCCTTTTCCAAAGAAATTCTCCTTCCAAACCCAAAGAACAGTAGTGTTAACTACAAAACTAGAAATTGGAAGTGGAACAGAAATTACACATTTCTGTTCACAACTGCAACAGCTGAGCAATTCACTGGTAACTGAGCAGTGATCTAAGCAATTCTCTGCTAAAATATTGGCATCTTAACATTAAATTTTGTCTCTATCAATAGCAGAGCTCCTGGAGCCATATGAGAGACTTGCTTAGAAAATTTATTTTTTTTTTACATAGAAGCATACTGGATCTCCTTCTCCACATGACATTTTTTCAGATAGTTATTATAACGTGCCTAATAAATTTTCTGATGTATTTAAGACTCTGAGGTTCTAATTTGACAGCAGGACAAAATGGAGAATGTGGCAATTGCCACAATGATTTTCTTCTATCATTACTTGTAGTCATTATTTAGAAAATATGTCTTACACTGAGCTGAATAGGTTTGGCTTCATGTTCTAGTCACTTGCTATTTAATTATTTCATCCTTCCATTTAGTTCTTTTGTTTTTGCTCTTCTAAATAGCTCACTTCTGCTCAATATTTCCTCCTTCTGAAGGAATGAATGAGACTATAGTAATTTTCTGTGAAGCAAGGCATAGCACACATTTCAAAGGGTTGAAATTCAGTCTTTCACTGCACTTGTGTTGCAGACAGCCTATTTCTGATCTAGCTGCAAACAAATATCTGCTCATGGATGCACTGTGGAGTCAAAGGCAGTCAATTATGAAAGGTGTATTAGTAGTGCATTAATTATTAATTTAACACAGTGGAAGCTGGACTCCACCATCTAGACTTGGCAGAATGAAAAGGAAGGATTTCCACACTATAATGAATTCACTCTTCCATTATTTCAAATAGCTAAATAACCTGAGTTGTACTTGGAGAATGAAAAAGGAGAAAGTGTGTGTCTGAACAGTTCCTAAAGAGGCTATCTTCTCTAATCTCCTCACTGCAACACTGTTTTCCCCACACATCACCTAAATGTGTGGCTCTCTTTTGCTTGCTCTCCTCTGCAGCTGTTTTGCTTAAAATGTCACCACCAGAAAACATGAACTGTGCCAGTTCCAAGCCCTCCAGTGGTACACATAGAGACAGAAACTTGTTTACCTATGCTTATTCTCTAAGCTTGTTACACATTCAAGGTGTGAGCAAGCCAAATTTGTTGCTGCCTTGCTTGATAGATTGAAAGATAGATTTCTGCTGGAAGGCTGTACTCCCCAGACACTTTCTAGGTTCAGTTTTAGGGAGTTCAGCAAAATAGTATGGTAAACATCCAGTGCTGTCAGCATCATTTTCCAGTATGTTATGTAGGGCATTTCCATATGTACCACTATAACACAACTTTCAATAAATACTTTTCTGTTGGACCATGAATTTTGTTAAACCACAACATTCTGTACCCTGTGGCATGCAGGGGATCAGACTGCCTATCCTTACTGGCATTCTATATAACAGCCCATTCTCTTTTTCATTTCATATTACAGCAGCAGTATAGAGAAGTTTTAAATCAATTAAGAACACGGAAAATGAAAAAACCCCAACCTCTCCTGAGTACAGATGTGGATATCTGACAAGCTATCTGGAAACGTAGAAATCACAGAACAGATCTTAATGGTGGTAAAATATGTTTTGAGAGACAAAAAGATAGCTTATTCACAGTAGCTGATGCCTGGTAATGGCTGGCACAGAATATACAGAGACCCTTAGAGCAGTGTCACTGCCTGTTACTACCAGCTGCTTGGCTGCAGTCACGCATACTGAGAGGGACATAAAGAAAAAATCCAGGACATCCTTCTCCTGTTGGAAGCATGGCTTATGTAACAGCAAAATATTTGAATTATTTTAAAATAATGCAGTAATAAAGAAATCTTTGTAAAGCACTCAGCACCACAATATATAAGCTCCCAAATGAATTGCACTGCTGTGACAGGGCTGAAACAGTTCTCAGTATGTGTCTGAATGCCTGTGGGTGATTTTGCAGGGCCTCACACTGTGTAATAGGAGGAAAGGCCCGACCACTGGCTAAAGAGCTCCCTCTAGTCCTGCATGGAAACCAGTGCGCTCCACAGAAAAGACCGTTCCAAGAATGAGCTCATACTACTTTCCTGTCAAAGGAGCTTTCAATATGTGAAGTGCTTGTAGATGATGAGAACTAACAGCAGCAGAGTCAACATTTTCAAGTATGACTGCTAAGGGAGCCCTCTGTGTAGGTGACCTAAATATGTGTAGACTTATTTTTACAAAAATCTGCTATCCTTCTCAGTAACTTTTTTTTTTAATGGGTTGCCTGTATTTTACAAGAAAACCATCAAAGGACCAGCTTATCAGTTTCTTGAAGTGTCATCATTTCTGTAAACTTTATCAATTTCTTTAATAAAGGAACTTTTACAGAGAGAGAAATAGAGAAAGGGAGTCCTTCTACTTTTCAGGATTATGCAGCCCATCTTAGGTGCACTTAGAAAATTCCATGCAAATTACTAGAAAAGTTGATAGAAGTTACTAGAACTCGATCTAAAATTAATTTTATCATTTCATTCCTGCAGGCAATATGCAAAGCCCCTGTAAGACTTGCATTACACCAGCTGTAAACTGACCTTCAGTTCTTTCAAGTTCATATTTGACATCTGCAATGTCTTTTTCCAGACTGCTAATCCTCTCAGCATGTATTTTGCTTCCGACATTTTTGTACTCCAACCAATAATCTCTCTCACGCTGCTTTTCTGCAATTTTTTTCTTCGTTTCTTCAATTTGGGAGCGCAGATCTATTAAAATAACAATGTCAAAAGACAAGTTCATTACTGATTTATTGAACTGATAATTCTTACAATGTCAACTTCTTGAAGAAAGGTGTTTTCATAGGGAATGGAAAAGGAAGGGGGATTCTTCCACACTATAGTACAGTGCAACCTGATGGCCTTACATAGTTTCAAGGGCCACTAGCATTGCTGAAAACAGCTTGATCTTATTCTTCCAAAGAGAGTCAACTGTTCTCACCAAAACGTTGTAACTAAGGTCACATGTCTCGCACAGAGAATCGCAGGGATGGCAGCTGGAATTTTCAACACTCAAACTGGTCTTTTTTCCTTCCATCAATAATTTTTTATTTTTAATCCTCTGTAGATCCAGTGCTTAGGACTTTCATGAATTTCAAAAAAGAGGAAGCCTCTGTACTTGCACAATACTATACATCACTTGGAAGGGACAGATTGATTTATAAGCCCTCCACAATTTCGTACTAAACTGAGAGAGCCCAGTTTTGGGAGAGGAATAGTTTTATACTTTTTATACAACAGAGAAGATGAATCTCTACTTAAATTGCAAAATAACATCAACATGTACTTAATCCCAAGTGTGCAAACTGCAAACCACACTTCCCCAGCACACAACATACCTTGCAGAAGTTGTTCTTTGTCCTTCACAAACTGGAAAACTGCTTTCAGTGACTCTTCCACATCATCCCTGGTTACAACCTCCTTCTCATCTCGTTTTTTCTCCTTGTCTTCTATTTGCCTTACTAAGCGCCTGATAAGCACCTTCTGTTCTTCCTTCAGAACAACATTCTAAGGAAGAAGACACAGCTGATACTAAAATGTTTTCAGAGTGACAAATTAAAAAAAAAAGGAAAATCTGGCCTAGTGCCAGATGAAATACAAGAATACCCAGCTAAACACCTGTGTTTCGTATTCTGAAAGGTCAGAGCAGAAGGCAGAATTTGCAAGGCTCAGATATTTCCTCAGTAACTTCAGACCACTGGAAGGAAATGAGAGACAAATGACAGCTGTACTTGGTACAGCCCACCAATAATCCTCCATTGCCTGGAAAGAAAGGTGCTTGCAGACAATTTAATAACAATTTTTCTATGTAGGAGCTATTTGCTTGGTGTCGACATTCCTCATGAGAATGTACCATCTTCATATAGAAAAATCATGAGACAATCAGGTCACTTGCATATAACCACAGCAAAGAGTCTTGTCAGAGCTGAAATTAGTAATACATCCTGATTCCACTACTGTGATCATAACGCCTGGCCATGACCCTCTCTAGTGACACTCTGATTGTTTGAAATACAGATTGTGTATGTTTGCTCCCAAAGGATACTACACAGGAGCAAACAAGTGAGAAGGCAGTGGAAAGAGTCTCAAGCATTCCTCACTTCTAGGATTAACTCTAAACCACTCACAAACATTAAGCAGGAAATAAAGAATGGAGCTCAAAGCACTGTCAAAACATGATTAAATTAAACCAATAGCACTTCACCCATGCCCTAAAGTACCCTGCTCAATCTAAAATATGGAGTCCTTGAAAGACCATGAACTAGCAGCAAATTGGGGGAATAACTGTAGAAAGATAGCTGGGAGTAAAATTAGAGGAAACTGGGAAGTTGTATTCACATCCTAACAGAAGTTGGATGGTAGGGAAATTATAGAGTAAAATGCAGCTGCTACTACCTGAATGGAATGCAGCTGGCATGCTTGAAACCTACTCCATGATGATGCCCTACAACCTGCAACCACAGCCCCTGCTAAGGGGATGGAACAGAGGGTGGAACAGAGTGGAGACACTGTGGCCAGGCTGCATAGAAATCTTTGCAGGGAGGGGAACTCAATGGCACTCTGTAGCTGACAAACAGCACAACACCTGTCAGCCAGGGGAGAGAGAAGAAGATGAATAACTAGAGTCACTCAAGCTCCACCTAAACATAAAGAAATAGTATAAAAGTAAGTTAGGAATGGGGAGAAGTTTGGGAAGTCCATCATAACTGCTGGGATCAGTCGTGAGGTTGAACCTGTCTTCTCCCCTGTAGAGGGAGACACCTATTGGGTTAGAACCATGCTCTGTGGGCACTGAATACTTTGGATTAGAGCTTGTCTGTGTGTTGCTTTGATATGCTTTTGCAGAGAGATACTATCACTGAAAATCCTCAAAACTTAATCTAACTTTATGTTAATAAAGAGCATTATTCCATAAACTGTCAGTGTGAGCCCTTCACGGGCACTGGCTGTCAGTAACACATTCAAACAAACTGGGGAGACCCACTGAGGGGTCACAAAGTGGGTATACCAACTGAGGGGTCTCCCTTATGCTGTTGCTCTGTGTCTCTGAACAAGGCAGTTGAACCACCCTCCAATCCAGCAGTATAACCACAAGAGACATAAGACCCAACAATAATCATAAAAGCCTTCAGATGCCTGCAGAAAGAAGAGCAATTGCCACTTCCAGTGATAGTCAAGCCACAAATGAAACACCATCCAGGCTTCAAGACTGCAAGAAGTACCATAGAAAGTTAAACAGATGGATGCTTATAAAAGCAGGGCAAGCATCAGCACGGGAAAGACAGAGAGGCATTGTTTCAATGTTTCACTGCTATGAAGTGCAGGCTGCAACATGATGCAGAATAAGGATTTTTTGAGCATTTTCAATTAATTTCAATAAGTGACTCTATAATATCTATTTTCAATGTTCACTGCTCACAGTTATCAGATGCCATATTATGGCTGTTTATATACAGCTCATATGCACAGTTCTTTTAAGTGTTACTCAGGTGAGATCAGTAGTTACACAACCTTGTTCTAAAAATTACCCAAAACAATTCTTAATCCATGAGAAAATGTGTCTTCATCAATCAGTGCTAGAAATCACAGCTAGCAAATAGCATGATGGTCTTTCTCCTTGATTCAATTTTTATTTTAACCACGTTTGCAGCAATAACTAGATTCTCACAGAAATCTGTGCAATTCCATTACTTCAGAAGGATTCAGAGAAGCTCAGCAATTCTCAGTGCTTGGTTAGGTCTGCTAATACTACTAACAAAAATTAAATTTTTACCATTTATTCTTCATGCATTGAAATACTGAAGAATATTTGTAGGACTAGTTAAAAGGCATATCTGAATGTACTGCAAGGAAGGTATCTACTGAAAGGTGGCTTGCTGTCCTGTGCTTGCTGCAGAGAAAAATGCCAAAGAAGGGAAACAAAGTTGATAAAAGGACTAAAGCACATGTCTGATGTGGAGCAGCTGAGGATGTTTAGTCTGGAGAAAAGGAGGCTGGGGTGGCACCTTATCTCTCTCTACAAGCACCTGGAATGACTTTGTAGCTAGGTGGAGGTTGGTCTCTCTTCCAATGTAACAAGTAACAGGGCAAGAGAAAAAGAAAATTGTGCCAAGTTTAGATGGGTTATTAGGGAAAATTTCTTCACTGAAAGGGTGGTGAGGTATTGGAACAGGTTGCCCAGGAAAGTGGTGGAATCACTATCCCTGGAAGCGTTCAAAAGACACGTGGATGTGGCACTTGTTGACCTGCTTTAGTGATGAACACAATGGTGCTGGGTTAGACAGTTGGACTTGATAATCTGAGAAGTCTTTCCCATCCTTAACAATTCTGTGATTCCATTAAACATGTAGGTGGTTATAAGGATCTCTTGTGCATTGGAAAGCACCTGCGCTGAACTCACTTTACCTTAATGCCCTGTCCTATTCTGTAATGTTCTACTCCTGCAGCTTCTTTTTAGCATGTTATATTTAGGACATGTATGCTACGTGTCACATTTAATTCAGATAACACTTTAACTTTCAGCACATAAAGTGACTCACTAACTCTAGTTTCATTGACTGTAACAAATCACTGCAATAACTAATTTTAAAGTATGTAGTATTCAAATGGAAAGAATAAAACTGAATCTATGAGTAAGAATACCACAAATAAAATTTGTTGCATAGTCACTTACCTTTTTAATATCTTCTTTGATCTTTTCTTCCAATCCTTTCAGATGAAACAAAACCCATGCAATTGCTGCTTCTTTTGCCGCAATGCTATGAAGAGAGAGTAAAGAAAGACACATTCTTACAAAAAAATTAGAGAAAGGGAAGTTATTTAAGCTAGATTAGATGCAAATACTACCAAAATGTTTATTTTCATATCATATTGCTAGACTCATTTGGGCAAATACCACTGTCTGCTTACTACACATAAAGAAATTATTTCCCACATAGATCTGGGCTTGCATGTTAGTTTGGATTTCATACCCCTACAGAGCAGCAGACTCCCTGGTTATATTGTTCCTGTGTAGCCTCCTGAGAGGCTGGAGCTGGTTTGTTCATTCTGCATGAGGTTTAGCTGACCTCTTACACAGGTCACTTTCAGGACAAGGTAATTCATGCTCCAAAAATATTACTCTAGCACTCTGTACCTCTGTTCCCAGCATTCATTCATCATGTGGTGCAATAGTATTAGCAATTATAGCAATTATCATAAAATCTTCTATTCTTTTAACAGTTCTTCTTCCTTCAGTTTTTAGTTTGAGGGTTTGGAGCGCTTTTTTGTGGTTTGGGGAGTTTTTTCCCTTCTCTATTGATTTCAGCTGTTTCAAAAGAAGATAATTCATTTCCTAGTTAATTTGCTAAGTTTGGATCACTGAATCATGCAAATTGCAGGTTACTTAAATTTACATCCTCTGGTGTCAGTGTATTGTGTATTGGTGTCAGCTCCAAGGTATTCTTCAGGTTTTCTATTAAGTAGAAGGATCTTAGAGAGAGACTAGACCAGGGTACAGTGGTCATGGCCACAGCAAAAGTACATCATAAGATTGTTGTTCCAAAGAAATGCTGAAATGGAGAACTTTAATGAAAATGCAAACTAACAAACTCCCTAGGAACAGTGACCATTCTTCAGTGCAAGGAAATAAAAAACAGGAATCAAAGTTAAATAAATACTACACAGTTGATAAATCCTAAAGTGGAATGTGACACCTATTCACTTGTATGATTATCCACCTTTGATCAGTCAAGCAGTACAGAGAAGTTATAGATTACAGAGGTGAAGAGAAAGAAAGGAAGAATAGGAGGGACAGAGAAGAGAGTGGGAGAAAGATAAAAACAGCAAGAAGAATACTTTTCTTCCCTCTTCCCCCTTCTGTTGCTGTAGAAACTACATATTCCATTTCAATGAAGCACCTATTTCAGTGGAAGACTCCAGACAAATGAGTCATTTGCTTGGATATTAGCATATGCATAACAATAATTTTATCAGAAAGTGGTACATGTTTTTTTCTCAGCCCAGGAATACAGTTTCTTTATTCCTTCACAAAATAGGTGAGTTACTTTTGGACTTTTCACAAGGTATTTGTTTGTGATATGATTCAGCTAAATCTAGGCTATTTCACTATGGAAAATTGTACTCTGTGCTCTGTAAAATGAAACAGGAAAATCCCACATAAACCCTGTGAACTCATACAGCTGTCACAACTATAGGAGCATACTTTTTAGTTTGCTTACTCCACTTGTCATTTCCACACCGAGGCACTACTCCCTGCTCCCTAAATGCAGATAATTGTTGGATATTGGGTGTTCCTGAGGTATTTCCATTTCAATTTCTGTCTCACATAAAAGTAATGAAGCTTATTTTTTCTCCTTTTAATCATTTACTCAAGAGACTAGAAATCAAGTAAGTAAGTTGAACAGGTTTGTAACTGCTTCAGATATTTCTCCCTTGGCTCTTATTTTCCTCTGCTTGATTTTAAGAGACCTTTCATTTATCCATCTCTTACTTTCAAAATAAAGCAATTTGTGCTCTGCTCTCAGCTGCACCAAGGAAGACAGCAAACTGTCGGTCTTGAGGTTCTGGCTAGTGACAACAAACCTCCATGAACACCAATGAATCCTAAAAAATACAGCCAAATGTGATCTTGCAACTTCAGCATATGCTGATCAAAAGCTTGCTACTAACAGAAAAAATGTCAGGGTTTTTGGTTTCAATATTTTTTTCCCAAGTTATAGCCTAATGGCATAAAATTTCTGACCCATGGAATTGCTTTCTTACAGCTACAGTTTAAAAAGTGAACCTTTCTAAAATAGCCTCAAAACCTCAAATCAATCAACTCAGGCTCTAAATTGTGTAAGTTGTCTTTTTTATCTGCTTTCTTTATTCACATATTCTCTATGAGTGAAAAGTTAAAATATATGAAACCTACTGATATTCTAGTAAGGCTTCTGGTAAATCAGATTCAGGCTCTTGAACTTGCTCTTCTGGTTTCTTCTTTTTCTTACTCTCTTCCATTTTTTTGGGTTTTTTTTTTGGTTTTTTTTTAATACTTGTGCTAGAAGTGAAGGAAAAAAAAAGTATAGAGATGAATAATTTACAAAACATTGTGTGTTCACTGGCGTTTGTCACTTGTGACAAGCTTGTAACAGCTCTGAAATAAAAAAACACAAACTGTGTTTTTGGCAGCAACAATCCTGCCCAGGGGTAGCACTCAAGCTCATATCTCTCTATATATACACACATATATGTGTGTGTATATATATACATATATATATGTAATGTATACCTGGGTAGATACAGTGGTCTCTATCACCATTACTTATTGCATCCCTTGCTACAGGTTGTCTTTTACAATCTTGCAAATCAAACCAGAAGATGCTCCTTTTCCAGTCCTTTGTTTCTTTATCATGCTTGTTTTATCAAGTCCACTTGTTCACATGCCTCTCTTTCCCTCTCCTTCTGTTCTCCTAGCACTATGAATATCTCCCTTTCACCACAACTCTGATACCAGTTTTCATTGTCAGAGCTGGAACAAAAGCACTTTCTGAAGGGATATGCATGTCAGCAGTATTCCCCAGGCATGCTGTCACAACCACTAACCTCAGAATTCAACTGACAATGAATAGCTCTGCAATGGAACTGGCAGCATATATTATACAAAATAAAAAATGTCACAAAAAAGGACACTTAAAAAGATTCCTCGCTTTTAGCAGTCACATAATCAAATTTTATAAACCAAAATAGTTTATATAACATAGAATGTTTTATTACTGAATGAGTAGAAACATTGTATATAGCCTGGTTTTGCATTAAACTGCTTCTCTGAATTTAAATTTTGAATTTTACAATAATAGGTGAAATTGATTAAAACTTGTTCTCTGAATGAATACAGCAGGCTGGATACTTTTTCCTATTAAAATGAGCACAAGTAAACAGGAAAAAATATCAGTAAAAAGCCACATAAGCAAGACTGTAAAATCAACAGAATGAAGTGAAACTATTGACAGATGCACTGTTGACAGATGCAATCCAAACACTGTCCTATGCCTTCTCACCACAATCCCCATACCCTGAAGCAAGGCCATGTAAGCTTTCTGTATACAAAACAATTTTCTATCCTATTTCATATACAACCTTAGCAGTTTCCAATTCAGTACAATATTTTTTTCATGAAATTTCCAAAAATCCTAAAGACATGGCTGTTGTAAGACCTGAGACTAAAAAGAAACTCAAACAAACAAGTGAATTAAGAAAAAAACCTCAGTGAGGCAGGAAGTTAGGTACTTTGCTCCTCCTAGACCCCTTTGATGTTTCCAAACCAAGTGCACAAGTGCAGGATACACTTGTTAAGTGTAAAAAAGAATCCATCACACTTCTTCAGCGCAGAATTAACTGGACTGCTATTGATTCAATTTCCACTTGAGCATTTATTTTACTGATTTTCCTCAGAAACTGAAGATCAGTAGAGCACTCCCTAAGGGTTTCTTTAAATTGTTTCTGTCTCTTTCACTAAATGGAAAATCAAATTCCCTTCTTGAAACTGGATACAAACCAGAAAATTTTGAGTAGAAGTATTTTGCAAAGGCTATGGGTGGTTTTGGGTTCTTTTTAACTACAGACCCAGATGAGCTCCAGTGACGTATTTATGAAATTGTTCCCAAGTACAGAGGAACAAGAAAGCCTCCAAGTTGTAAAAGGTGAAAAAACACATGCTACAATAAAGGATTTTGCAAACCATAGAAAATACTCACACATGAGACAGAGAGGAACATATTTAAGGGGACTGAGGATTGACTGCACATTTGAAATGCACAGGAGAACATTTACAAAAGTAAAGGTCTATTTCTTCTCCCAAGCAAATAAAATTGTGAGGCTCTTGACTGACCCCCTTTATAAGCATCAGCACTGTCTCAAGCAATAACTTCACTACCATTGCATCCTTAGAAGGAACAGGCAGTTTCTTGACACTGCAACCCAACTACAGTGACTTTCCAGACACTCTTTACAGAGATCACCAGTACAGCAGCTCACCACTCTCATGAGCCCAATCTTTATCATTAACACCATCCAAACTAGCACTTGCACTCACATAATAATCCCTGTATATCGAGCAGCTGCTCTACCAGAAGCCTCCACTCCCTCAGTTCCCAACATTTATAGACTCACAGAATACACTGAGTTGGAAGGGACCTATCAGAATCATTGAGTTCAACTTCTGGCCCTATGCAGGACATTCCAAGAATCACACCACGTGCCTGACAGCATTGTCCAAACATGCCCTGAACTCAGCTTTAGGCCATCAATCCCCTTGGATCCTCTCACTGTTTACTAGGGAGGAGACTGGTACCAGGCCCCACCATGAGGAAGTTGCAGACTTTGATGAGGTCTCCCCTCAAGTCTCCTTTTCTCCAGGCTGAACAGACTAATGACCTCAGCCACTTGTCATATGGCTTCCCCTTAGGACCCTTCACCATTGTTGTGGCCCTCCTTAGGAGGCTCTCCAGTAGCTTAATGCCTTTCCTCTGATGCACAAAACTGCACAGAATATCCAAGGTGAGGCCACCCTAGTGCAGAGCAGAGAGGGACAATCCCCTCCCTTGCCTGACTGGCGATGCTGTGCCTGATGTACCCCAGAACCCATTTGGCTCTCCTGGCTGCCAGGGCACTGCTGACACATGTTCAGCTTGCCATCGACCAAGACCCCTAGGTCCCTTTCCACTGGCTGCTGTCCATCCTCTCACTCCCCATTCCGTCTGTACACCTGGGGTTGCACCGTCCCCGATGCAGCATACGGAAAATCTATTACCTCAGCAATAGAGGTACAACGCTACAACATGGTGCAGTCACACTGTAACCCCTTCCCAATCTCCAAAGCAGCCCAACAATTCCCCCTGCCCCCAATCCGTCCCTGGCTAACACTTCCCCCATGTCCCTGACACTATTCCCCCCAGCCCCCTTCACCACCAGACACCTCAGTGGACAAAGCTGGGCCACCCCTCAGCGCCTCGGTGCCCGCAGGCACCAAATCCCGCTGGCACTGTCACCCTGTGCCTCAGCCCCCCGCCACCCCTTCCCGCCACGGCCGGAGAGCTCCCTGAGGCACTCCCCGGCCCTGCCCGCACCCCTTCCCGCGTCCCCCTCACGGTGCCCGCGCCCCGGCACCCGGCCCGCACCGCGCGCTGTCTCTGCCCCGGCCCTGCCGCGGCCCCAGGGCACGGCCCTGCCCTGCCGCGCGCCCCGCCCGCCGGTCGCCATCGCGACGGGGCCGAGCGCCGTGGGGGCCGCCGGCGCCCTCTGCCCCAAGAAACGAGAAGTACGGGAAAAAAGGCTGTGGGACGGGCTGGGTTTCGCCGAAATGCGGTGCCAGGCTGAAATCCTGAAGTTGTAGCTTCTCGTCAAGAAAGAGACTGTGTCCCAGCTCCGTAGTGGGACAGTCCTGCTCGCACGGAATGTGAGCAGGGCCACCCATCACCGCAGAGCTGCTTTCTCAGGAACCAGCTCCCTCTGTCCAAGGCACTGCGATGAAGCCTTGGTGGCTCCTGTACTGCAGTAACAACAGCCGAACTCTGTGGCCTGTGTCCCCTTTGCTCCACATCAGAGCAAAAGGCCATGGCCAGCGTGGGGCAGGGCTCAAGAAGGTGGAAAGGAAGGCTGGAGTCTCATCCTGCTTCTTTCCTCCTGGCCTGTGGTCTGCAATAGATTTTGGATAGGCTCTGGTCATTTCCTTTCCTTTCCTGATATAGAATATCAGTGACTGAGCCACATAATCCTGGGAGCCATACTCAACCACAGAAATAAATTATCAGTCACTAAAGTGCTGCTGCCTGCATTCTTGGGCAACATAGAATCACAGAAAGGCTTGCTGGAAGGGACCTTAAAAATTATTTCACCCTCTGCCATGGGCAGAGACATCATCACTAGTTCAGTTTGCTCATCCAGGGCCTCATCCATCCTGGCCTTGAAAATTTTTAGGGAGGAGAACCTCTCTGGGCTCTCCTCTCTTAGTTAAAAACCATTCACCCTTGTCCCATAACTATCTGCCTATATAAAAAAAGTCACTCTCCGTCTTTTTGATAAGGCCCCTCTATGGACTGGAAGGCTGCAGTGAGGTCTCTCCATAGCTGCTTTTTCTCCATGATAAACATTCACATTTACTTACTTTGTTCATAATTCTTGGCCATCCCTGTGGGAATTTGTGTTTTCCTTTGACAAGTCCTGTTTGACATAGTAGAGCTGTCTCTGTAATTAAGACATGTTCATTAAAGTGAGGACAAAATGCTTTTGGTCCTACAGGCAGAGATCTGTAGCCATGCTGCATAAGACAGTAAATTTAAAGATGCCCTGGTCACTGGCAGCAGGATTAAATTTGTTTTGCTTGTGAGAAAGAGAAGGAAAATGATCAGGCCCTAGTCATGCACATTTGATCTTTGAAGCCATTCCTTTCATGATCATTATAATCAAGGCAGTCTTTTTCTTACCACAGAGAGCACTGTATAGAGTAATATAATTAAATTGAAAAGGATTAGGGCTCCACACTTTTCCTTTTACAGTTTGCACTTCTGGTATACATTACAATATTTTAAAATAAATTCTAAATAATTCTAAAATATTTTTGAAGGCTTACGTTTTAAAGACTCTGCATTCCTTCATGTGTGAAGAGAGTGACCTTTGATAGGCTGAGAGCTCCTGTGGTGGATTTGGGGGCAGCCAGGCAGGATATTTTTCAAGTTATTGCACTCACCATTATTGCTCTGCCTTCCTTTGTGCATGTAGAGAACTTTTAACGGCATAACCTAAGAGCGTGGAAGATTTTAAAAGAAGAAAAAAAGTTGCCTTGATGCCCAGGAACCAACTGAGGGATGAAAAACAAGGAATGATGTGGTCAAAGCCACCTGGGAAATGTCATTACAGCCATTAAATGAGCAACATTGGAGTTAGCTGTGATTTGCTTTAGTTCATCAGAGAGCAGCTCAGTGTCAAAGGCAGTTGTGTGACAGGAGGAAACTGGAGGAAGGAAAGCATTATCAGCTCAATTTGCTTCAGTGGAAGCTACTGTCTCTTCAACTAATACCTGTCATTTTGTAACCACACCAAGGCACTCACTAATTTTTTCATTATTGGAAAAAGATGGCATGACTTCCTTTTTACTTTGGGAAATCACTAGAGAGTTAGACATGCTGAGTGAGGGGGTGAAGGAAGAAAGGTGACCCACTTTCTGAATCTGATAGCAATACACTGTACAAAGATACCTGCAGACTTCTTTGGTTTGGGTCTTTTTCCTGAAGATGCCATAACACTCTTTGTTGCTCTGCAATCAAAACCATGCTTGAATCTTTTGATTCTGCTGAGAACTTAAAACTCTGTGACTGTGTCTGGGGAACGCAAAGACGAGGGTGGGTGGAGTATAACCTTCTGTGACTAATTTGTGTTCTCTTGCTGCCACCTTGAGAGTGTTCAGGCGCAATTCACTTGAAAAACAGCTGGTCTGCGCTTACGTAAAATGAGTGGATTCTTCAAATCTGCTGAACAGCTGCAGAGTAGCTGTGGGGACAGGCTGGATACTGGGTGCAGACTTTTTCCATCTGCAGTTACTGAGGAATGAGTCTGAGGGTCCTTCAGGTATTCTATATTCTGTCCATATCTTCAGTTTCTTCTTTATGAAGATATCAGCTGGCAACTGGTCTGAGCTGAGACAGTCCTTAGACACATAATCCCACAGATTTCATCTGAACCCATTTTAAGAACACATGACTAAATTAAATTTGAGCAGGAGAGTTCACCTGTATTTTAACAGACACAGCACACACCACATACACAGTTTCTCAGCAGTCACTTCTCAGAGTGCTGAGACCTCTACAATTTTAGCACCAAGGAGCTGCTTTTTCCTAAGCTTGGGTCCAAAGTCCTTGGTTAGAGGGGGAATTGTTTTGGGCAGTGGGTACACCAGACCCGTCAGTTCCAAGTCCATCCAGCAGGGGTCAAGAGCACTCACAGCTGCCAGCTGATACAGCCTGCCTGGTCCTGAACCGCTGTTCCACGCATACCTTCCTTTTTCTTCGGGACTGCTGCGAGAGGGGGTAAAGAGGTATTTTACACTCGAGAAAAGGATGCTCCATCTACGAAGAGTGTCAAAAGGGCTTCGCATCACTTCTAATTAAGTGATGTTTCTCGATCTGCACTGAACAGCACTTTAATGTGGGTTTTAATAGGTGCAGCTTAGTATGCTGCATTGGGGTGAATAAACTGGATATGTAGATGAGAGGTGATTGAATGAAAGTTATTGAGGGGAGCAAGCGACTTTTAGTCTTTCACAAGGTCTCCAATTCACTCTGATCCTTGTGAACTGAATGTAAGCCTTATTAAAGGCTTATTAAGCTAGAATTTTACTGCATAGTAAAATGAAAAGCATGCTCTAGTCCCTTCCCCAAAAAGGAACAGCCACATATCAAATGCATGAAATTGAAAAGACATGTAATTGACCAAGACTTTACACCAATGCTGAGAACACTAAATTTTCTCTAAACATTTTTTTTCACCATATCTAAGTTTGAGAAGGAAATGAAACATAATTTATTGTTAGCAGGAAGCCTGGGCTGGTGGTGTAGGATTTGGGGTGTAAATGGACTCGGGCTGGGAGCACAGTAGGGGTGCAATTTAAACCAGAGCTGCTGCGAGCGAGAGCCGAGCCAGCGCTCCGGGCGGCAGACGTGGGCAGGTGACAACAGGGCTGCCCTCAGGGCACAGCGGTCCCACTCCCGGACACCAGAGGCTGAAATCCTTCAGCTGCCCCAAACTAGCATTGAACCAGATAGGTCAAGCACTGTGAGAAAAACGTGTGTAAGGGGAAAATACCGGCACGCCAGCTCTCCCCATACCGCGGTCGATGCTTTTACCCTGCTCGCAGAGGCACTCCGGCTTCAGAAATCGCCGCGGTGCCTGGCTGCTGAGGGGAATGTCCTGCTGGAACACCCCGTGAAATGGCGGCATGTGTATTTTGTGCCACTAATTAAACAGAAAACCACTTAGAGCGCCTTCCTGAACAAATAGATGACTGAACCCTCTGTTATCGCGGCCCGTATCCACTCAAACAGGGCGTATGTTCACACCTCTCGGGCTGCCTATCGCCAGGTAAAGTGAAATATTGATCATTGGTCCCTCAAGGCAGCTCAAGTCAAGTCAAGCCGACACTCCGTGCGTGGGCTTGTGTGAAGCAGCCACTGTCCGCTGTGGAGCTGCTGCCTCAGAGCAGTGCCCGCTGACAGCCGACCCGAAGCTGGCCCGGCCTGCGGGCAGTGTCACCACCCCCGCGGTCAGGGCCCCGCCGGGCACACCCGGAGGTGCCACAGGTGACACGGGCGGCAGGGCGGGCCCGGGCGGGGAGAGCCGCCCTGCTCGGAGGGGCGGGCGCCGGCATTGGCCCAGGGCGGCGGGACGGGCTCGGCCTCGCCCCGCTCCGCCGTCTGCCTGCCCTCAGACAAGCAGGGCGGAGGCGTGGGACAGCGGCTGCCCGGCGGGACCGGGGAGCCGGCGCTGTCTCTGGCCGGAGGGAAGGAAAGGGGAGCCGCGGAGGGGACGGAAGGAGAGGTGAGGCTGACCTAAAAAGGGCTCTGGGGTTGGGGAGCGGGAGGACTTGTTAATGGAGTGACTCGGAGTTAAAAGGGGTTGTAGAAGCCACCCGCGCTCGCAGTGCGGGGACAGCGTGCGAGCGAGCCCGCTGGCCGCTGAGGAGCCCGGGCTGCCGGCCTTCGCCAGCCGGGCTGCCCCGCAGGGTGGGCTGGGCTGGCAGGGCCCGCTCACCTGAGCACGGCGCAGCGCGCACAGGTGTCTCGCCGGGCTAGCCCCGGTTGTTGAGGCCGCAGGGAAGCAGCGCTTGTCAGCGCCTTTCCTCAGAACCGCTCTCGAGAGCCCCGTGCCCGCGGAGCCGAGCGCCGGGACATCCCCGCTGCTGCTGCCTCTGTCCGGGTGAGCGCTGGGTGTCTGTCCGAACTTGGCTGCACAGAGCTCTTGACTCTGCTGGGATGGGAGAAGATTCATTGAAATAAGGTGCTTAGATCTCAGCTGAGAGATGTTAATGACTTTTTCATAAATAGTAAACACTTTTAATCTCAAAACAGTGAATTAGTCGCATCATCCACACTGTCTCTGAAATGACTTGCAAGATTGGACCTGGCCCTAAAGTCTAATGCAGCCAGTTATGTCTTTCCTGTGTGAGCGGGAAAATCTGTGTGA